ATAAGCTCACAAATGCTGTGGGAGAACTATAGATAAAATGGATTACAGCCCAATTGGAGACCAACTACATTGCACTACCAAATGTTATCCTTCCTTTTAATAAAGTTCAATACAAATGTATGTATGGGGGAATAACTGCTCAGAAGACCATCCACAAGGATTAAAACAACAGAAGTATTGAAGATAGCAAGTTTAGAGCACCTGTGTCAGTCCACAAAACAGATGTGAGTCAAAGAGATGCATTTGAACACAGATAAGTACACAAGAAGAATCAAGGAATTCTGTAAATATGAATTTAAGAGCTGAGCAGGCACAGACAGGTTCATATTTCAGATGGCAGCTTCCCAACAATAGGAATTGAGCCCTCTCATTGCTTCAATATAGCAGACTTAGGAGACAACACCAAAGATGAAAGCTAACCTTGTGGAAAAGATGTTCAAAAATGGCTGTGTAGAACCAGCTCCACCATTCAAGAAAAGTGATGAGTGTTGGTACCAGCCAACTTTTAGTACGTATCATCCACAGAAACCTGGACAAATTATAATGGTCTTTGACTAAAGCACTGACTTGCAAGGGGTTGTTCTGAACAATGTTCATCCTACTAGGTCAGATTTAACAACCAACCTCCTAGGACTGCTTATCCATTTCAGAAAATCCAATGACATAACTGTAGTAAATGTTCTACTCCTTTGTTGTTGGTAAAGCATTGTAAGATGCCTGTGGTACAGTGATGACTAGCACAGCACTAAAGTAGCTAAATACCAGATGCAGGTTCATGTCTTTAGCAGCAGTTTGTCACAAGCAGTGGCCACCTATGTATTTGTGCTTAGTATGCACATATTTGCGCAAGCAGTTTTATTAACATGATGAATAATTTTACTGTTGTTTTTTCTTTAAACATACTTACTCTTACACAGTTTTTATTAGAGGGCATTGAACAATTCAGAGAACTATAAGTTTTGAAACAGAGCTGAATTTCAGTCTACATAGTGGTGCAAAAGTACAAAATTAGGATAAGGAACTGAGCGACTTGCTTCCCCACTCCTAGATATGAGCAAGGTGATTATATTATAAACATGGGTGATTTGTGAGAAACTTTTTGGAGAAATAAATTTCATTTACATCCTGAACAAGAGGTACTTAGACAGTTAAGGGGTATCTGATTTTGCTTTTTTGTTATTACTAATAGACTTTTTTCTGGGATTAGCAGATATACATCTAATCTAACCACAGAATATTCTGGGCACAATTCTAAACATGTTTATACAGAAAAAGTCCTATAACTGTCATTTGTAGCACTTCCTTCTGTCCAAACATGCATAGGATTATACCCCTACCTACTTAGTTACACCCATTGCTTGCTGAAAAATGGAACCATGTTATAGTAAATTAGAAACATGTTGAAACACTTATTCTTGTGATTATTTCTATACTGATTTTCTTTAAAAATGTGATACTAAACAGCTATAATTATACAAATGTATTTTGCAACAGGTATGAATCGTGTTCTATATCCCCCATTTCTTCCACTTATTTATTAAAAATAAATTTCTATCCCACCTTTTAGCTCCATAGTAAAACCCCCAAGGCAGATAGCATCATAAATGAGAACATGAAAAACCTAACAAACAATCATAAAACATCACACTGGCACCAATAGCAAATAATTAAAATCAGCAAGGAGCCTGCAAGGTCATATTGTTAAAAGATGCACCTGAACAAGAAAGTTTTCAAATGGTGGCTGAAGAAATATGTGAAGAAATGCTGCCTAACTTTGTCAGAGCAGGACTGTGTTGTCTTCCTGGGAGCCTTTCTGGGAGCCTTTTTGCACTTTAAGGAATGAGGTGTAAAATGCTTTAAATAAATGAATAATCTGACTACCAAGAAGGCCCCGTCCTTCATATGTGGCAGCCACTCCTTAAGGGGGGCACTCAACAGTCCCCCCCCCGCAAAACTGACAGGTGCAAGCACATCCAGATGGGTGTTCCTTATCTGAAAAGCTTCAAAGGCTAAAAACATCACTTTCAGTAGGAACAATTTGGGAACCAATAATTAGTATAGGAGCCTTGCAACAAAGCACAGTCCCCATTTCTAAATGCATTGGCTTGAAATTAACATTCAATATCGGTGAGTAATTGTAATTAGGGCTGGACCTTTAGGCCAGGTTGCCAACCCCATGTGCACAGTGCTTTCCTAGTACAGTACAAGGAGAAGAATTCCAAGCTGCGCACCTGCATTGCATCTGCAGGCACAAGGCATGGTTTTGAGAGCAAAAGAAGCTACCTTATACAAAGTCAAATCCATAATCCATCTAGCTCAATATTGCATCTAATATAGTGCCTTCCAGGTGTTTTGGGATACAAGTCTCATAATCACGGTCCATGCACTATGAGGGCTGGAGATGATGGGACTTGTAGTCTAAAACAAACAAAAACCTCCCCAGAACTTGAACTCCTCATCTGTGGGCCCACTAGGTAGGGGAAAGCTGGTCTGCACTGACTGGCAGTAACCCTCCAGCTTTTCAGGCAGGAATGTTCCCAGCTCTACCTGCAGATGCCAGGGAACAAACCTGGGACCTTCTGCAATTGCAAGCACTTCACCTCTGATCTATAGCTCTCCCCTGTTGTCAGCATGCTTGTCCATTTACAGATTGCTTTATGACTTTTATTTAATCTTGTACTTTTTCTGCATATAAAATTGACTGGGCATGGATTACCAGGAGTCATCTGGTCCACTCTGAACTTCTCTTAAGTAAGGCACTCAGTGCTTTCTAAACCTCTGGATGTGATAGGATGGATGTAATGGATCCCCTTTCTTCTACATCCTTATGTAATTTGCAGCTTGCTACAAATGGAAGAGTAGATTTAGGTTGCCAAGTGCTGCTGCTTTTTGAAACACGTGGTAACTTTAATTGGTGTGTTTGCATTTTAGTGAAGTATGTTGTAAGGAAACAATGCTGTATTTGCCCCAAAGTGCTCTTGAGCTCAACCTTGCCTCTGTACTCTTCCCAGCTACCCAGGGGCAAGCACGGCAAATAGCCAAGTCCATCTCTGTGTCATCTGGTGCTCTCATCTCTAGAATGCAAGCCATCAACACAGCTGCAATACATAAAATATTTATTCAATAAGTTCTGAAGCCAAATATTATTCAACATTCTTTTTGACCAGGAAATAGTCTAAAAGAAAACATCAGGACTAATGTACATCATTTTGCTTAAAGTTGAAGTCGCTGAGTAATCTTTGGAAAATTAATCTGTGGTGCAATTAAAACTCTGAGTCCTTGTTTTTATTTACATCATTAGTAAAACAAACACTAGTACAGGAAGAAGCATGTATGAAACATTAGGCAACAGCTGAGCAGAACACAATCAATGGCGAATGAATAATTCTTGTAGAACCAAGTACAAATAACCCTGGAATTGCATGTTGATGACCCTAACAGTAATAGCTGGACTAGGAACAGCACTCTATAAATAACATACTTGTTACTCTGAACTGAATATTGACATACCTAGTGTTCAACGAATAACCATTCCCTGTGCCTCCAAGCAAGATCTGTGCCAAAGACAGGTATTGCTGGGCACCCACTTAGGGTCCTTCACCAGCAAAGGCACGGTGACAGTTGGTCCCTGGACTTGCTCCTTCTCTTCATTGCTCACATGTCTTTAGTCCAGACAACAGTGGTGCTGGTGAAGCACTGGATGCTAATCCAGATTGCTTGCTGGATCTTTGAGAAAGGATAAGGAGCAGTAGTAGTGGGTGACGATGGCAGTGAGGAGGCAGACTAAGGTGAGGGCCCATGAAGGGTGTCTTGCCCAAGGAGCCTCAAATGTCTGAAGCCAGCACTGCCTTGAAGAAGCCATGTGGAATGGGCTCCAGATGCAAATTCTATTGCCCTTATAGTACGTCTCTTCCTTTTTTAAGCCTATGATATGAAGGAAACATGCTATGTGCAGCCTGACTAGGCATCCAATTCATCCATTGATAAAATTCCTGCACTTGAAGGTTTGGATAAAGAAAAACATGGTTAGTTCTGGTAATTGGCAGGGAGAGTGTGCAGTGTCCCCAGTCCATATCCCCATGTACATTTTGAATGTGCACACAGAACCTTTTCACTGACTTTCCTTAGAGAAGATGCTCTCATGCACACATCCCTCTGCACATGTAGAACTTACCCTTCCCTGGGCATGAATTGGGAGTTCCTTGAAGACACGCAATCATGGCTGTACATCATAACTCTGAGTGTACAAGTAAATGCTGCATAAGGCCAAATTAATTTAGATAAACTATAAAATGGACATGATTGAAATCTGAATAACTCACTCAGTGCCATGGACCTGAATGCAAGATAAATACAAATATGAAGAATATCTTGGGCAAGCTATTGAGGGTCATTTTTCTTGGTAAAAAGGCAGGGTGCAAATCAAATAAACTCAAAATGGCAGTGCTCAAGCCATTTGCTTTTGTTTTTCAACCATTTGTTCCACTTTTTATAAATTGGGGAGGGAACCTTGAAAGGGGTTCAAGTGGTTGCAACCCTTTAAGGAAATTGTTTTCTTCCTCTCCTACATGCACACATGAGCACCAGGCACTTCCCCACAATGCTTCTCTTCCCGGCATCTGGCTTTCAGGCAGCACCGTCTTCCTAGGAACAGTGGCACTGTTGCACAGAATTACTGCAAGATAACATCACTGTTTCTGGAAAGACCACTGATTAGAAAAAGAATCACTTCCACAGCCATCCAATCAGGGCATGGAGAATAATAATGAGGCTGCCACAGATGAAAGCAGGGAGTGTTTGTGCACTGTCCCTCCTCCCCAAAACATATAAAGCCAGTGTTATTAAAAAAACCACCACAATAATATTAGGACAACGTTTAATACCATTGTGGAAGGTAACTGTTGGTTGAGTTTTGTTCATTGCATCGGAAAGCTGTAACTATATAAATGTCTTCCCTATGAATAAAAATGAAGGGTTTATTTCTTGTTTTCTTTTTCTAGGCTGAGGTTCAGCTATGCTATCTGGAAGCACAAAGAGATGCTGTTGAACAGATGTCCTTAAAGCTGTACAGTGAGCAGTACAACAGCAGTAGCAAGCGAAAGGAAGAATTTGCGGATATGTCAAAAGTTCACACAGTGGGAAGTAATGGGTAGGGAACTATTCTTTTTGTTGTTTTATTCTCAGTGATCTGAGTCTTCTTTTTAAAAATGTGATCATCTCTTCCTTGCTACTGTGTTAGTCAGAAGGGTTTTTCCAAGTAAGTCAAAGATGCAGCCATTCTTTCTCCTGTATGAAAAATCCTGGATCTCACCATGTGTTTGTTTTAGATTACTAATATAAGGATCAGTTTATTATGACTCACTGTCCTTTATCAGGTGATCACTGTAAAATCAGGCTAAGTACAGATGTTCATTATTTCAGATAGAATGTATGGAATAACCTCTTCATTTCTATTTATGATGCATGTAAAGCCTTGACCCATTATATCTCTGGATTCCCCAAGTTCCCTAGCACTGTTTTATCAAAGATGTAAAAAACACAAAAGGATTGCTTTCCTGGATCATACCAAATATCCTTCTCCCCAGCACTTTTTCTCCAACAGTAGCCAGCATAATGGCCCCGAGAAACTGACAATCAAAGCATTTAGTCAGGACACCTTTCATTTGTCACTGACTGAGACATCAATCCACACAGATTTAACTGGGAGCAAGAGCCCCTGAATTTATTGATTAGGCACATTTAGGAATTAACCCTTCACACAGTGGGTGCTTAAAGCACTGTACAGATCAGCTAAAACAATCACCAATCTGTCAAAACAGGAGCAGATATCATATCCATTAAAAGCTCAGTAGAATAATATAGTTTTCACTGCCTTTCTGGAACATGGCTAAGAGGTGCTAATTTAAACTCCCTTAAGGAAGTTCCCTAATTGAAGCATTGCCACCAAGAAGTTGCGTCACCAACCGAATCTCTCTAATATAACAGGACCTCTTAAAATGACAATACGTTGTAGGCAGGTTCATATGGAAGGAATACCCCAAAATACCCCTATTGTTTAGAGTGAGGCCTACTTCTGTATAGATGTGTCTGGAGTAGCATTTTCTCCAGTTGTGTTCCTGCTCCTTTTCTTTTTTGTTTCATGATAGTTATGAGAAAAACCACATACTTTCCCTTACCTCTTGTCCTCTGGAGGAGAGAGGAGAGAAATCTTCCTATATAAGAGTTCTCCAACCCCCTTGATAGGCTGCCACAACCTAATCTTTACCTGCACGCTCTCACCTTTCCAGCCGGGGAAAGCCTAAGCTCTTTTGGGTAAGATTCCCCCTTTCAGCCCAGTTCTAGGGGAAAATAAAAAGGAAGGTGCAAGGAACATGCTAGTGCAATTTAAGTTACGTTAATAGTTTTGTCCAATTAGATGCTGCTCTCTGTTTTTAAAACTCTGCCACAATAAGTAATTTTTTGTTATTTATTTATAAAAATAAACTATACTGGGATTATTCCTACAAATGCACATGATCATAGCACTCTAGCAAGATCCTTTGAAGAATTCCTAATATTGCTAGACCATGGGTAGACGGTGCACAGTGGCAAATAATTCACCTTGAAAAGAATACACAGATATTTTAGGTGGAAGCTTGTACATCTACTCCATATCAGGCCTACATACATTCTTTCTACAAGGTGGGGTGAGAATAAAAACAGAACTGAAAAATGGCTAACAGGAAATGCAAATAGAGAAAAAAGAATAACACTGGTCTTTCAGATTATAGCAAACCAGGCCTGCATGGATGAGGACCAGCGCTTTTTTTATTTGACCTCCCATGCCATACCTCCCAGAATTCCCTGTTCCTTTTGTGCTTAGCTGAACTTCACACAATACAGGGAGGAAACACAGCTTTCCCAACAACAATATATTGTTCCCAGTGTTAATGCAAAGTATTTTGAGATGGCTTGGACTTGAATAGGCCATTACGATTTAATAATGTAGAATGATCTTTACAAATGATCTGGTCCTAATGGAGATAGAACTGGCTGTTGAATGGATCAACACAGCTGCCTGGTTTTTCATACTCTCCTTGGGTCTGCAACTATATCAACTTTCATGATGAGGGTCTGCACTTCAAAATTTTCCACTACATTACTGTTCACCTTTGCTGATGGGGAAAGGAGACACACACACACACACACACAGAGAGAGAGAGAGAGAGAGAGAGAGAGAGAGAGAGAGAGAGAAGAAAAAAATGTAGAAATGTTACTGTAAATGCATGTTAATGCAACATATTCACAGTTGAATCTACTATGTATGAGTAATTACTTGTGTGCAGGGCAATCAGGTACATATTTACTTAGAAGTAAGCCCACTGTGTTGAGAGAAGATTGCTCCCTAGTAAGCTAGCAATACTAGAACAAAACACTGATAGAGATACAGAATTTCTGTTTAGTTTGGGTGTTAGAGGAGAAATTTATTTGGGCCACACATGGACAACAGCAAACGAATGAATGCCCAGATCTCCAATTATCAACTGCTTTAATAATGATTTATTGAAGAGTTGTAGTGAATAGAAATCATTGGGCAATATTTACAGTAAGATTCTTGCTATGCATGATGCAGTATCCTAAATAGTATAGAAGGATGAAAATTAGCAGAGTTGAAAGTCCTTTGATCATTTAATGAAACTGTTCTGATATATGATGCTTTTGAAGATTTCAAAAATGATACTAGGAAAAGGGGGATATAGTAGTGATGACTTTTAAAAAAGGGTGTTCTTTTTTGTTGCTTGAATTGATTATTTTTCATAGAATGCAGGGTTTTCCTTGTGTTAGAATACGTGCACAGGCAAAAGAACCTTATTCAATCTGAATAACAATACCAGAAATTATACAAAATATTAAACTTGTACAATTGGCTCATAAAATAATTTCATATGATTTTTTGTTGGTTAATGGTACTCACAAGATAGTTTCCTCATGAGAAACACACTCATGAATTTTCATTTTATATAATGAATTAATGTCCACACCTTAAGAAATACCTTTGCATTCTGAGGATTAGATCTGCAACTCTGAATTTTTGATTACCTGTTCTCCCACTCCAACCCTTAAATACATGCCTTACAACTCAATTTTGCCACCCTGCCCTGTAAATGTACTTTGGCTTCACTGATTGCCTATGTTGCTGTTATTATTTAGCAGCATATGGGGCTGGTTTTATTTTGTGCATTCATTCATTCATTCATAACATTTTTATACTTCTTACTGTTTAAAAAAAACAGAGAGGGGGTTACATTTAAAGTGTGTGCATGTGTGAAAATCATACCCAGGGAACTCAAGTATCAGCATAAGGGAAACAAAGAATGCAGGGCTGCAGTATAAGTGCTAATCAGTGGCTACGCAATCATGCATATTTTAATAACCTTTGTAGGCACACTGCTGTTAGTGCATCACAAATCCCAGGGTGAGGTTGTTCCAGGGAATATGTGTCACCCTCCAAAAGGGGCTTTTCTGCACTACTATCAAATAACATTCCAGAGATCAAGCATAGCACTTTTGATTTACTTTTTCAAAGCCCTGGGAACACAACATCTGACAGAATCTGGTGAACTATCTCTGGAACACAAGGCGGGTTTTAAATATTTTGGAGTCATAGCACACAAGGAAATTGCCATGGTATGACAAAAGGGGCCTATTTAAGAAAAGTAGGGAGAAAGAAAGTTATCAAGGACAGCACAAGGCACACAGAGAGATCTGAAATAAAATCCATCAATGGCATTGGAAACTGTTCTTCTACCAGCAGAAAGGATCAGGACCATGACACTGCCCTGTACCTTTTCCCAATGAAAACATGTTATTAATTATTTTATACTGTTTTAAACCACGTTAGTGCAGCTTTAAGGTGCAATCTAAGGGGATGCCCTAAATCCTCTGAACTCAAAGAATTACGGGCATTGTAAGCAGGCCAGGCAGAGTGCAGAGGTGTAACTCTCTTGCCATGTTTCTCCTCAACTGGACAGCTGATCTCAAGCATCTAACTGTGGTACTTCCAAGTCAGAGGGAAGGAGGGTGAAGGGCCAGCAGCATTGCTCTCCTTCCCGCCACATGCCAAATGATACCGCCTAAACTTTTATGATTTCAGCGTAGGAGCTGGTGCAGTTCTTTCTGCCTTAGCTGTCTGGGAAAGGCACTCCAAGCACAGAGGTTCAGTTCTAACATCAGAGCTGTTTTCTGACATCTGAGCTGTGACTCTGAGAAATCCTATGGCCTTCTAGGTGCTTCCTTGCAGTCATAACCTGTGCTCAGCTGATTGCATGTTTAGACAAAAACTCCCAGAATTCTCCAGGCAGCCATAGGACTTTTCTCTATCAAAACTTGCATAGGATATAATCCTAGATTATCAGTCTGCATTAGGGTTGCTTGTGATATGCAGACAATAAGCACTAAGCAGCAAACATACAGAACATGCACACATTACCTTTGTTCCACAGAGACTCCTGAGATACTTGAATTTGAATTAATATGTAAATCAGGGTAAATAACAAAGCAGTGGTCGATGCATAATTAATATCGAATATGGATTTTGAAATGCAAAATAGCATATACATTTATATTGGCTGGGTTCACATGACACAACAAGCCCTGGCAGGTTTTTTTTTTTTTTACCATGGCTTCTCTGTCATGTCATCTGAACCCAGTCATGGTATTTCAGCATGGTAAATGAGGTCTTTAGGAATTGTTCTAAGAAATAACTGGATGGGTCCACACAACACAGCAAACAACATTGCACTGTTCTCATGGCGCACATATTTTTGTCCCAAATTACCAGTCCAGTGATCAAGTGTTTACCCAGGCACTGTGTTTTCCATGCTGCTAGCTCTGCCCTCTGGCCTTGCCATGCATCCCAATACACGAGTGAAATCTTCCCTGTGAGCCACAGCAGCCTCCTCCTGATTAGTCCACTGCAGTCCTGAGGTAGGTTTCACCTTCACCCTCACAAGTGTATTTGCATGACTGTGGGGCTTCCCAGCCAGTCCAGCCCCTACAGAGATTTTTATCAAATGAAAATAAACAGTTTGGCTGCAATTCCATCCTTCTCACTCTGGATTTTCACACTGCTCCCCTGTTTCCAAAAATACACAAAGATAAACATGTCACTCAGCTAATGGAACTAAAGAGAGCAATGATACAGCTCTTGCTAGGGAGCTGAGGGCAGTATAGATTAAAGGCTAGAAATGGCCACTCTTGTGGCCACTCTTGCTAGGGGACTTTGTGTGATGTAGTGGTTAAGACTGGGACTCAGGCGATCTGGGTTCGAGTCCCCGCTCAGCCATGGAGCTAACTGGGTGACTCTGGGCCAGTCACAGACTCTCAGCCCAACCTACCTCACAGGGTTGTTGTTGTGGGGATAAGATGGAGGAGGAGATGTAAGCTGCCTTGAGCCCTTTGTAGGAAAAAGGCAGGATATAAATCGAAAAATAAATAAATAAATAAATAAATACCAACAGTAGTAAAATGGCAGTCCCCGGTATAGACAGCTAGAGAACCCCAGGTGAAGCATGAAGACCTCAAAACAAGCTATTAATTCTCTCCATGGTTTCAGAAAACTAATCCTACCATGCAAAAACTCCAGAACTGAGTCTGAACAACACAACACAACAGACCCAGTGCAAGGATAGCTCCACACTTCAAAAGGAAGTTCAAGGAAGTTAACATACATGAGAGCTTGAGGGAGCCTCCCAAAAGCACACTCTTCTATGACAAACTGGCACAACTATGCCTGGATCACAAGGACAACACAACCACCTACAATGTGAGAAGTAGAATCCCTCCCTCCCAGCCCATGAAGGGTGTCCAATCACCATTGAGAAGTTCCCATTCCTTACTCACTCCATCTCCAGAAGGCTAGAACTGTACTCCTCCCAGCTAAGCTCATCCAGCAGTGCTTCTCTGAGCAGCATCCTCTGCCACCCTCTTCAGACCACCAGATGCCCCCCTCCCCCCACACACACCAATAGTCTGCCTAGGCAAAGCAGGACTAACCATACCTTTCTCAAATCCATCCCTTGCATCCCAGCAATCACTTCAGGCATTGGCTGCCCTGCAACCTTTTCCTCCAGCACCAGCATCTACCATATTGAGGGATGTGGCCAGGAAATGTCATGGGTGGGGCCAGAGGGTGCACAGACAGGGCTGTGGGGGGTGTCCTCCCAGGAAGCAGTGTGAATTATATTACCCAAGAAAAGCAATCAGAACTGGGACACTAAGGCAGGAAGGAATGGGCATGCATCTCAAGAGCAATTCACACTCCCACCTCTGCCACATATGAAATTATCTCCAGGGAAAGAGATGCAGCAGGCACAGCACACCATCACTGATCTCAAGCAGTTGGTGATCCAGAGCCTCACCACCACAGAGCAGCCCCCAAGGACATGAATCAGGAAAATATAACAGTCCTTATACCACATTTCTCACCTCCTCCCAGTGAGGGTGCCTTGCCATGACTGAGATTGGTCATGCAGGGTATGCTCAGTGTGCAAGACAAGCCTCCCTTTGGAGTCTTCTCAGAAGGGTAAGCCAGCTCAGAAACCCATGAACAGGAGGAGACACTGCAGTCGCTGAGCAAGCAGTTGGAAGTGGAGGAGCCAAAGAAGCAGAGGGCTCAGAGTGCCACCTAACTGCTGGAAAAGCACAAAATAGATAGAGTGCATCTAAGCCAAGGAACTGATTACAACCAAGGAACTGGCTGGAGAACAGAGATGTTCTAATACATGAATGAGCAGGAAAACCAAAGGCTGGTCACCAACTGCTTACTCAATGTCTACACTCAGCTATTGGTTTCCTTAGCAGAGTAGAGTCCTTGCTCCAGAGATGTGGATGCAAAGATGCCACCAAGCACTGGCCATGGTGGGGTGGACTGACAAGCTTTTCTGTCTTGCAGTGAGATGTGTCGGTACTGGTTGTGGCAGATGTGTTTTCCCCAAGGCAGACCTGCAGGCAGCCCTCAGTCCCCTCAGCACATTGCTACATGCAAGCCATGGCATGGAGATGTGCAGATACATTTCTGCAGTGTTGGGGAATGGGAAGTGTAAGGGCCAGTTGCAGTAGTGGCAGAAGTGCATCCAGTGACTAGATGCATGCTAGCTTGGAGAAGAATGCTCTGCTGGAGGGGTGGGGTAGATTCTGGACACAGCTTTTGGGCAGCAGAGCTTGCTCACCAGCAGGATAATTTAATCATTCTGTGTGAGCAATGATACCCTGCCGTTTCTTCCTGAATAACTCCTTTCCATAACCTGCATCTCATTGATGCTACTGAAATAAACATGTATTTTGCTACTGATGCCTCATTCCTGTTGGGAGGATTTGGTGTGGGATTGAGAGGATAGGGCATACGGAGTGCAGCGATACAGCACTAAAAGCAACGCTATGATTGGCATCATCCTTAACACAGTTGTCTGAAACATCCCAGAATAAGTGTTCCATGAATGTACAACACACTTGCATTTAAGGCATGGGGAGATTCCCGCATTGTTCATACATTATTGTGGAACTAGCCCTAAGTGTAATCATAATGGTTGTGTTACATGAATATTGACTTGGTTTTAATATAATTCAGCACTGATAAGTGCATCCCAAATATATGTGTGTCCAGAGTATTTATATTGAACTGCTTATGGCTTGCACCAATTCCCTTGTGGCCTACAAGAAGCATAGCGGATATCACTGATTTAAATTTAAATATACCATGATAATTAGTTTTGGTAAGCAATAATACTGGAAGTGTTGCTTGCTACCATATGGCCCATAGATTCATAATTATACTTTGAAGCTGAAGGTAAGGTTATGGAGAGTTTCAGTTTAGCAAGTCTGGATTTTTAAAAGTCAGACAATTTTGCAGTTTTTCCATGTGCACCCTCTCTTTCTTTTTCGTATCACAGTGTTTTACTTATTCACTAGGCTTTCAATAGAGAATAACATTAATCCTTTTAAGCTCCTTATTCTAATGATTTATTTTGTTGGAAACCGTTGTGATCCTTCTTTGAATTTTAATGATTGCTGGCTATTCAAGGATTCATTGTTTTGACTTCCTGTCCTTACCTTTGTTTCTAACATGTCTGTAGGGAACACCTGTCTAATACTGTATCTGGCCTTGGTTCTCACTGGCTTACCATATTCACTCAAGCCTATCTTAAAGCGTTATGTTGAAATGCTAGCTACTCATGCATGAAAATAAATGTAGGATATATATTTGCAGAGATAGGCAGATAGACAGCAGAGAGATGGCTAAATGGATTGAGTCATTTTTCTGTGAAAGTAGTATTTTTGGTGCAAATAATAGCACATAATGCTCAGTGCAGAGAAGTTTGCTAAATATGCTAGCACTTCAAAAACCATTAAGCAGTTCTATATGTAATTCCCATTTCTTAAATTTCTGAAGCAAGTGAAATATGTCTGCTGTTGTTGACAGAATCTAGCATAATTTGCTGAGATTTAGGTCATGGCTTATATGGGAGTTGAATTTTCCATCCTCCTTGTTGAAATAAAGAATTGCTTCCACAACAGAGTATGAATATCGTACGTTTTGGAGAATACCTTATTCTAATACAAGATTTTTATACTCTATTATGCATAATACATTTTGTTCCTTATCTGCAGCCTTTTGGACTTTGATTCGGAATACCAGGAGCTCTGGGATTGGCTGATTGACATGGAATCCATAGTGATAGACAGCCATGACCTGATGATGTCAGAGGAGCAGCAGCTGCATCTTTACAAGGTTAGAGCTTCCGTTACTCCCTTTACCTAGCTATAGAAGATCTGATTAGTTTGACAAGTCTTTCTCTCACAGGATAGCCCTGCGTTCATTGTATATATCATGGTGTCTATTAGAATTCCCTTCCCTGTCCCCAACCTCATTTCCATCCTCTCTGTGCTGACAGCCTGCACCAACATCATAATTGTGAGAAAGTTCCCTTTATCACATTCTATTTGGTGCAATTCTATAGGAGGACAAAGATTTGTCTTTGGAGTGAATAGAAATAGATGAAACTGCATTCATAAAGAGACTCAAACAAAATGAAGAAAAAATGATAGTAGCGTTTAGAAAATGTGTTTTGATTGGAGCTTTCTTCTAGATTTAATGTACCTTTCACACCTCTTTAGTAAAGAAAAAAATGCCTTGAGTTTAGTTTATTGCTTTCAGGATATAGAATTCTTCCAATTTGATTTGTATTAGTTAAATGGAAAGCATATATTCTTGCATTAAAACTGTATGCTGCTTATGAATTAAGCACAGTAATTGTAAACTTACAATTGCAATTTTATTGTCTAAGAGAGAAGGGGGAGGGAGAAAGTTGTTCTTTTCTTGCTGTTGCTATTAGCCAGGTAGCCTGATAATTTGCCCTTAATAAAGCATTAATAAAACTTCTTTAAAAGCTGTACGTTCATCTTTAGCCTCCACTTAGGCTTTTGTATGTGATGTGGAAATCCAGGCTAGTACTGGTGCGGGAGTGGGGGTGGAATTTGGAAACTGAAGGAGGGACTTTATACAGAAATATCAGGATGCAGTAAATCTTCCTCATTTAGGCAATTTTTATTGGACTAATTCTGACAGTTGTCATCCTTGAATTGCTTTGAGCATATGGCATATCTCAAAGACCAGATTGTGAATCATAAAAAATAAAATTAATAACTAACCACAGAATCAGCAACAGTATAATGACAAGAAACAGCTACCCTCTAGCTTTTTAAAATTTCTTATAGAAGAAATGATACTCTCAAGGTCAAATAGAAGTTGTTTTCTTTCTTCTCTGCTCATATTTTTTAAAGAATTTAATCAAATACATTTTTATAAAAACAAAATATTTAATTCTGTCTGGGTTTTGTGAGAATTTTCGGCACAAATGACTTGAATAGACCAATACTAGTACATGTAGCAAGTTTAGGTACTGAGTTTAGGTACTGTATTTTACCCTTTGCTTTAGAAACTTCTGCATATTAACTAAATATGCATATTAACTAAAAGCATATTAACTTAGCCTGATCCAAAGAGCCATACAGCCAGCAAATAAATGCACATGACTGGCTGCAAAGATTACTGCTGTGCTGACACAGGGCAAAACAACAGGGCATAACACCCTTATCTACAGAGCTAGTAGCCTGTTAGGATGTCCCAGTGGTGAGCAAGCCCCTCACAATGCAAAAGAAAATGGGACCCACTGAAGTGCCACATTGAAAGAGCTGTTCTGGAGTGGTTTGGTACATGCCTCAAAGTACTAAGCATTTACTTTCAGATTATATTAGGATTCCCATCAGGGCCAGCATCAAAGGGAACCTTGGCACGCACCTGCTTGCTCATCACTTACTGTGGCCCCCAAAATGGCGATAGTGGTGTGAAGGCCACAGTGAGTGCCATTGCCTGCTTGCATTCTGTCCCTGCCCGTCAAGCAAGCAAACAGCAGCATTGATAGGAAGGAAGATGGGGAGCAATGGCAGCTGCTGATAATGGCAGTGAGAAGGCAGAGTCATTTATGGATGGGGCCCATTGAGGACCGTCAAAAACCTGGAGCCAGCACTGATTCCCCTGTAGCAGAGTCCACATGACTGTGCTGTCACATATGTGCATTTTGTAGCCTTGTTGGCTGAATTTCTTGTCCTTTTGTACATACATGAAACAGTGTGAAACAGGGCACTAGTCACCATTCCTACATTGCTGAGGTCAAGAATCCTTGTAAAGTGCTCCTAGGGAGTAACGTGGATCTTTCTTGGACAGTGAGAGCCACCCTCCTTCTCGTGCAGTTTTCCCACCCCCACCCATTCTATTGCTTTAGAAAATTCACCTTCAGGGGTTGCAATCTGCAAGAGAACCTCCCCTCCATGGGGTTTTTTGTATTTTTCTATTCATCTACCCAGTAGCTAAAAATACCCCCAGGCCTGCTTTTGTTCAGCAGAAGAGAACATACAGATGCTTGTATATTTAGAGGAAGAGGACTTTTAGCAGAAACATCACTGGGTGAGAAGGGTTAAGGAACGGCCTTCCTCACACCAATCTTCAGCTGTTAGACGATGGCATGAATTACATTTGTCTGAGTGTCATGCATAATGTGGCCTTCAGCAGGACATGAAGCAGTGACTCTACCTATGGCGGTTTCTATAAAAGTTCTACATAAGAACAGGCAAATCTTGAGCAATGCACACTGAACCACAGACAGTACTTGAACCATCCTTCTTTGTACCAATTATTTAAAGCAATGTGCTTCTTTCTAAGTCCGTATGCTATGACTGTAGAGATTGCCCTGTCTTTATGATCATTATATCCATCATAAACAATTATAGGCAATGGCTTTTATAATCAATATAGATTTTGGAACAATTCTCTATTTTTTATTCTCCTATAATTTAAATTGGGAAAAAGATATTAAAAGAGCACAAACTACAATATTAAAAAGCTTCTGTTAGCACATCCATTGTGATCCATATGGACACAAGGGCCTATTCTACATAAGACACTTACTGGGTTCTTACAGTTGTTTAAGATTCTTCTGACAAGGATATGACTTTCCAGTTTTGCTTCTGTTTCTAAGAGCATTTTCCTAGTTTTAGGGTTTTAGTGTGGGGGAAATGGAATATTATTTCTGAAAAGGAAAGAACATATATTTTCCTACTTGTGTAATTTTGCTATTTTGCTGTAGCACAGCACCACCTCGAGGTTATATAGTGGGAAGGAAAATCTCTTTGGGTTCTCTCACATCTCAGCTCTGCAACAAAACTGAAAGCAAATTAAACACATTTACAGTTTCATGTAGAAAAGTTGAAAATGGCTGCAGGAGCAGAGTTAAACTGTGTATATGTGATAGGTAACCATGAAAACCATCACAGAGTCATAGCATAATATGCCACAAATACTTAATTAAAAGATATTTCACATGCCAGCAAAGTACTAGAAATAAGAAATCAAACATAGGGGGATTAGTAGCATGGATTTAAAATAGTAATATATGGTTTGATTTGGGAAATATTGTTACATTTGGAGAAAATCTCATAAATATTCAATGAGAATAAGAAAATATTGGGTGTAGAGATTTAAGCATGAATGTGTGTAGAATCCATTGGAAAAATAACTGCAGACAGTAGCTTTTCTTTTAAAGAATGGAACAATCTCAGCTCGCTGATTGAGGCACAATCCTGCTTGTGTTTGGACAGAAAAAGCTCCTACAGTTCCCAGCATTCCCCAACCTGTCATGCTGTCTGAAGAATCCTGGGTGTTGTTGGACTTTTTGTCTGCCTAAACATACTGTTGTACTTCTCTTAATGTACAGATGGTTTTATATCTAAAATAAAACATCAGATTTAATTTAGACATAACAAAAATATAAAATATGACATATGTTTATTGACTGCATACAGCTATATAAGGTTTCTTGCAAATGGTTCCTTTTTGAGAGTCAAGATTGTTGGTCCATGAATGTTTGACCCATATCTAGTGAGCTTCCACCTCCTGAATCTGAGTTGATGTAATGGGATGAATGCCTATGCATCTTTAGACAGAAAAAAGTCCTACAACTCCCAGTATTCTTCAGCCAGCATTACATTTTATGCATTAATCTGCCTCAAATTCCTGGTCATCTGTGGTACAATGCAAGTAGTTAAACTGAAAGCTGACGTAGCATGAAGTGAACAAAAGAGTTCAGAAAAATCAGTAACAACATTTGTGATTTTCAAATCAGCAAAAACATACTTTCCAGATTCTGAATATGGCTTTGTGAGAGCTGTATTCAGATATCAAATAGTTCTTTCTCATGAATTTGTTTTAAAAGGTTGAAAAGGATATGTGAACTCATCCAAGGGAAGTCATACTTAATTCTTCACTCAAGATCCAAGGTTCAGCGGAGTGGAATTTAGCAGCCAGGGAAAAAATATTGCAGTAAATATTAGCATTCTAAAGATATTCAAACAATATTGCAAAAAAGTAACATTTTCCCTAACACAAGTCTGTTAATAGCTTTCATTCAGTTCCCAGGAGTACATGATGTGCGTGTGTGTGTGTGTGTGTGTGTGTATGGGTCATTTCACACATTAATCTTTGCTTCAGTACAGTCACCCGAGATGGCTGCATTGTGTCAGTGTCATATAGTGATTTGTTTCTTGTGCAAAAGTTCCCATATGGTGGCAACCGGTACTTGTCACAATTGGAAGCTTTGTTCTGAAGCCTTTCTAGTGATGCGGTAAATACTAGATGCTGCCACATGAGGGCTCATTCGAGTGCAGAATTTGAGTTATAATGTACAGGTTGTGCATTTCCTTCGTACAAAATGTACTTTTTCATTTTCCTTTTTTTGGCCGCACTGGACCCTCATAGCTTTTAGTGTGATTCAGTATGGGCCGAATGGTCAGCTGTTGCATTGGCTATCCTCATGCAGAAGAACAGAATACAAATCAGGACTGGCAGTAGCTTGTACACTCTTTTCAGTGCATGATGCTCCACTACAGGAACCAGTTCATTACACTTTCTCTTTTCTGAAGGTGGGTTTCTTAAATCCACAGAAGCCCCCTCCCAGTTATTGAGTTGATAAGTAATTACACCTCTGAGCCAGCTCAGCAAACCTTCTCTGCCAGGTTACCTGCTGTGTTATCACTATTGCCAGCAGTAATCTCTGCCTCTAAGGAGTCCATAAATGGGAACAATCCATAATAAAACAAGTACATTGCAAGGCAAAAGCATACATTAAAAGCATAATAACATAGAAATACCAGAACTGGGTATGAGAAAATTATCTG